TGGTTTCTTTTGAACCTTGGACACAAAAAAATCCAAATTTATTTACTTCACTCTAATAACTATCTAGTCTACATGTTTATTTTTTGTCAATGATGACATGTATTAATTATTTTGATTCCAAATATCTTGAAAATGATTGCCTGTGCTGACTTTTACCAAGAGACCATTTTTGCGTAAAAAACTGCAGAAATGAAATTTTTTTCTCTCAGTATAGTGTCATACATGGATACACGGACGAAAAGTTATTACTCTTCAAAACAAATAAAAAAAACCTAGGTGGCGCTACCTACAAGTGGGACTCATACTAACATTAAAACCCAGTTTCTCACGTAAAAAAATATCCAGATACCAATTTTCATCCAAATATCGACGTTATATCAGTAAATATTTGGAAAAAATCTAAATAAAAACGAAACTTATACACCCTGTATCTCCGAAATGAAGCACTTTAGGACATAAATGTATACAAACTTTTTTATTTGCAGAATATATTTACATTCGGACCACTCTGTATAATGAATCAGCAATAATGTTTATTTTTTTTGTTGGAAAAATCGTGAAAACTCTATTTGCAATAAATTAAAACTGTATACTGGGTGCGTCTCAAGAGTGGCTCACCCCTATTTTTTCAATTAAAAAAACGAAATTTGGTATGTTAGTATATGACATAAATTAGGATTGATTGACGTATTCATTTGTTTTCGGTCACTTCCTGTTTCACCGAAAATGACTACAACTTTTGATTTTTAAACGGCACCAGTGGTATATTTTTACTTTATTCGATAGAAAATAACACTCTAAATAGAATGACATATCATATGTCAACTTTTGACATTTTCGCATCTGGTTTATTTTAATTTATAACTTCCGGTTCGGAACGAAAATTTGACTCGAAATACCAAGTGTGTGGTATCAAATTATTCGTAAAAAATGCTTTTTCCAAATATGCTAATGAGCCACCCTCGTTCCATTTGAAAAAATTGAGGTATGATTAAAAATACGATTTGAGCTTTTCTAACTGGCCAGGACAAGACACTAAAAACATTAGACTATCAAAGCTATTTTTCCAAGGCTCCTTGATTAAGAATTAGTGTTTTTAACATAGCCATGCCACTCTAGATTGAATTTTAAAATACAATTTTTTATTAAGCGAGAATGTCAAAAGGTGACATATGATATGTTATTCTATTCAGAATGCCATTTTCTATCGAATAAAGTAATAAATACCGAGGTACTTGTGATTTTTAAATGGTAGAAATCAAAAGTTGTAGTTATTTCAGGTGAAACAGGAAGTGACCAAAAACAATTGAATACGTCAGTCAATCCTAATTTATGTCATATACTAACATACCAAATCTCGGTTTTTTATCTGAAAAAAATAAAAAAGTTATAGAGGTGAGCCACTTTTGAGATGCACTCGGTATGGCTTATTGTTGACGGCTACTATAAATTACTTATTCGCCGGCAATAGTTTCAGAGAAACATTTTTTATATTTTTTATTTAAAAAATTATAGGGGTGAGGGGTAAGTAAATAAAAAAATCGCTATTTTTTTAAATTAGTATCTATGAAAAATGAAAATGTGTGAAATAAGAAAAAAGAAAATAAAAAAGACCGCAAGACGCACGATGGACTGGATTTTGAGTTAGTCTTGTACTGTCGGTCTTGCACCAAACGCAAGACCAAGACCAGTCTCGCTCATAACTAGACGTGAAGTCACTCCTTAAAAATGTTCTTCCTTTTCCTGCTATTTTCAAACAAGATTGGAATGTCTTTATCTAGTTCTTTATCTAGAATTATACATACATACATACTGCCATTACTCGCTGACGTGTATTTGACACGCATCAGAAGATGGTTACGCAATGCGTTTTCTTTCATGAGCGTTTCTGTGACTCAGGACATTCAAAAATCTGTCTGTGACTCCGCACTCAGGACATTCAAAAATCTCATTGCTTTGTTGCTTCTTTATTTTTTGGTTGTCGTTGTTAACTGAGTTTACAATTCTTCTCCATTGTGTTCTATTGTGCGCTAATTCTTCCCACTCATTCTGGTAATACCCCTTTAAGTTTTCTTGGAAAATATCCTTGTACCTTTTGAGTTGTCCACCCGGTTTCCTCTTACCACAGAATATCTAGCTACGCAACAGAAGCCTCATTACATGTATAAAATTGTAGGTAGCAAAAGGAGACAGGCTTTTAAATCCTGTCTCCAAATCAGATATTTTGATGCGATAGTTTCGCTACTACATAATAGAGGGCAATAAATTTAAAAGAAAACAGTTTTCTACAAACAAAATTTAAAAGAATTTTGTGCAGTGTTGCCATTGTGTAATTCATATTGTAATACTTCCTGATAAAGCCTACCTTCAAATTTGCTACATCATTTAAACATATTAAAATAGATCAGAGCTGTTTTTTTCAATTTGCCATGTTAGTTGGAATTAAATCTTATGAGCTAAATTACAATCACTTCCTGACGTTTGATTGTATAATTGAATCCTGAATTTTCATTGTAATTCGGCGACAATATAATAAGTATTGTTCTACTATTATGATACCACTTCCTGACGTTCGATTGTGTTCATACCAAGTTCATATCGTATAATCAGGAAAAAACGGCGTTAGCGATGGCTATGAAATGAATATCGCTGTCATTTTATATATAAATTTAAATGGGAAATGTCATCGATCGTCCTTTTCCAGCCAACTAGACGCCGTTTTTTTTCGGTATCATACGGTATTTGATATATACTATTTTCCATGACATTACAATATTATGGTACCATGAAGCATATAAGTGATACCATAATATAGTACCATATTACGATACATGGCGTTCGATTGGGCTTAAACTTGATATACTAAGTCTTCAGTGACATTGTAATATCATGGTACCATGGAGCATATAAAGTGGTACCTTCTATAGTACCATATTTGGTGACATAGCAATATTAGGTACATGGCGGCAATAGGGCTTAAACTTGGTATACTACGTATTTTCGGTGACATTGTCATATGATGGTACTATGATGCATATAAAGTGGTACCTTAAAATAGTACCATATTTCAATACCATTTCCTGACGTTCGATTGAGCTCATATTTGATATATACTTGCGTATTTTTGATGACATTGCATTATTATTGTACCATGAAGCATATCAACTGGTACTATAATATAGTACCATATTATGTACATGGCGTTCGATTGGGCTTAAATTTAAGATACTACGTATCTTCGGTGATATTGTAATATTATGGTACCATGGAGCATAATAAGAGGTACCATATTACAATACCATTTCCTGCCGTTCGATTGGGCTTAAACTTGGTATACTACGTATCTTCGGTTACATTGTAATATGATGGTACTATGATGCATATAAAGTGGTACCTTAATATAGTACCATATTTCAATACCATTTCCTGGCGTTCGATATGGTACCATGAAGCATATCAACTGGTACCATAATATAGTACTATATTACGTACATAGCGTTCGATTGGGCTTAAACTTGGGATACTACGTATTTTCGGTGACATTGTAATATGATGGTACTATAATGCATATAAAGTGGTACCTTAATATAGTACCATATTACGATACCATTTCCTGGCGTTCGATTGGGCTTAAACTTGGTATACTACGTATCTTCGGTTACATTGTAATATGATTCTACTATGATGTATATAAAGTGGTACCGTAATATAGTACCATATTACGATACCATTTCATGGCGTTCGATTGTTTTTAAATTTGGTATACTACGGATCTTCGGTGACATTGCAATATTATGGTACCTTAAAGCATATCAAGTGGTACCATAATATAGTACACTATTATGATATCATTTTCTGGAGTTCGATTGGGCCCAAATTTGGTATACTTGCGTTTCTTTATAAAGATTTGTTTAATTAATAATTTTAATTTATTTTACGAATTTTAATTTATTGTTCGATATCGTGACAGCAACTTTTATGCCGAACTAATATATTATTAATTGTACCTGTGGCACTTTTTAAAATCTACCTAGGTCTATATAAATAACGTGGCAAACGGAAGAAATTTGTTATTATAGTATTTTTTAGTCAGTTAACATTTTTGTACTGCATTTTAATAAATTATTTCCATTATTATTAAACTTATATTTCATTACTAACGTTCCAGCATTAATAAATATCACTATCAATCGCCCTGTATATTATTAATTTTAAAGGTAATTAAAGGTATTTTCTTAGTTAACATTATAAGGTAGTGTATATATTAAAAATGTATATGTTTTGTAATAATATACTTAAAACTATTTTAATAGCCAAAGGAATAATTAATATAAGTGTATCTGACAAGAAAAGAAGAATAGAAAGAAACACATACTGCATTATACACAGTAAAAAGAATGGGATGCTAATTCAAGTCTTTTTGAATCTGGCAACTGTGCATATTTAGCCGAGCTACAAGGCAGTCGACGAGCCGTCGATCCAAAACCGAAAGTTCAAAATTTCTAATTATATTCTGATTATGACATTGTCGCGCCATCTAGTATTCTATTTGTGCAATTTTAGCTCTTTCATTTCGAGTATTTTTCTGTTGCGTAGCTAGATATTCTGTGCTCTTACCAAGCTCACCGTAAAGCAGAGATTTTGGTAGGTGATTTTCTTGTGTTCTGCATACGTGACCAGTCCATCATAAGCGGGATTTTGTAATCATGACTTCAAAGCTCTCGCACTCACAAAAACACTCACAAAATTTTTTCAAGGACCGAAACGTTTGAGACATGGTGGAACCATTTGATTCTTAAGAGTTGTCTAAGGTGTCTCTAGAAGTATACTCTTTTTTGGACGTAAATTTTATGTCTACCCTGAATATTTAACGCAGCCCTGTTATAATTTTAGACAGCCTAATGCATAAAAAATCAATACAATAATGAATAATAAAATTTCTATTTTGTGATAGACTAGTTGTCAATGTTTTATTTTTTTTAAAGAAGACTGATTTTTAGGCAAAGGCCAGGCAAGATAGCAAAATACAGTCGCATACACTGGTAACTTGTTTATATGCTCAAGAAAAGGTTTTAAAAAAAATTATTGATCCCACAATCTATTTAACAAACGACAAAAAAATTGAACTGTTAATTTTTGAGTTAACAAATTATAAAAACTTGTATAAAAGCAAAACCCCCATGATGGAAACTTTTTGTCAATTGATTGAGGTAGGTAATAAGTGATATCCTTGATTGAAAGAATTGGGAAGATACACAACCTAATGGGCGAATTCGTGACAAGGCTGATTTGATTTCCCGTTACGTCTCAAGTGCTGTAGGAGGTGCGGTGGAGACACCAATCGTTCTGCGGTCAACGCATAAAACACTTACTTTCCCTAATTCGGCCAGCGAAGACATATCGAAAAGAGTGTGGATCTGAAAGCGACAGTGTTGCCATATTAAAATGTGTAATATCTGTAATACTTTTGACGAAAATATCTTTGGATGAAAAATCCGCGTTTATGTATTGAAAATTTATTCGTGTTAAACATATTATAAACAACAAAAATAAAAATTCTTTTATAAGTACTGAATATGTCGTATGATCGAAAAAAGTCGTTTAGTTGGATTGGAAATAACGATTATTTTGACATTTACCATAATATTTTACATATGAAATAACAGCGATCTTCATTTCCATGTTCAAGCCAACGCTGACGCCGTTCTTTGTTTAATCATATAATATTGTATTAAAATTTTTAATAATAGAAAATCTGTATTATTAACATACTGTACCCAAAATCCGTAAATCTACGAGTTAATCTGTAGTTCTGACAACACTGTCAGCTGTCACCGGCAACCACCCATTCTGTCGATCGAAAGCAGAACTACGGTACAGTATTCTTTATCCGCTGCGCTATAAACGACTATCAGCGCGCAGCAGCGCATAATTGAACTAAATCTCAGAATTCTCGGACAGGCTAACGGTAACGCCAGCTACATCTCCGACAGGTTTTGTGCCACGAAATCGCCCATAAGGTTACGCATCTTGTTATTTCTCCATTCAACGGTTATATCAAAGGCGTAATAATTGTATTGATTTTTAATAATTAGATTGCAGATTTATTAACCATAGTGAGTGTTATTTCAAAAATATTTGGTGATGGAGATGTTGTCCTGCATGATAAAATGGCAAGTACGTTCTTTGATTTAATGGAAAGAATTGATGAAGGCGCAAGTACAACACAAAAACCTATTTACATAATGGCATTGTCAGTTTTACGGTATTATCATTATAAAACTGTTTGTAGAGAAGCAGCCAAAAAGAGTATGGAAGAAGTAGACAAAAATCAACTAGGTAAATTCGATTTATTCTCCTCTATTAATAATATTTAACTGGTTAAATTTTAAGTTGTTGAATCTGCTAAAGAAAAATTTGATCCAGTGCCTGAAGATCCCAACGACGAATGTGATGTTGTAACTGCATACGCTAACTTAACACTAAATAAATTTCTAGAAGTATTGAACTATTTAGTTAAGGCATTAGATGGTTTATGCAATATTTTTGAAGAAAACTCTGAGTCTCTTGAGTTAGATATTCTACGTAACTGTGTAAAACTGTCAATTAAGATTGGATATGAATTTCGTATACAGTATTATGAACTAAATTACCTACGTGCCTTTGAATTAGGATTTAAGATTGCTGAGAAAACATCAGATAATGAAAGTCAGCTATTATGTATTGCATTTCTAATAGAATCAGCAAATACAAGTAAAGCGCTTGTGAGTAAAATAATTTCCCAAGCTGATACATTAATTGCAACGATGGAAAAATGTAACGAGAAAAATAAGTATAATAAAGTTATGGCCATGTACTATATAGCGAAAACCAAAGCATATTTACATAATAAAGTGGATGTAGCATATGAGTCTTGGAAAAAAGCAAATTCGGTATTGGATGCTGACAAAGATAATGATGAAATTGGATTTCTTCGAGTAGAGCTGAACATATTAGATTTTAAATTAACGAGAGCGTGCAATTTTGTTGTGGGAGATCATGCAAGAAATCCAATGACTACAAAACTACACTGTGCATTTGACCTTGTTTGTGATTTGTCCAAAAATGATGACGTTTCTAGTAAGTATTTAGTTCTTTATTACTATTGTTGTCTTTGAATAAAAAGATTAAGGAAGGAGCCTATCAAAAAATTTAGGTTGAGCGCGATGGGAACCTTATATGTCAACGATAGAGTAAAGTCCATTATCTCATTTGCTTCGAGGTTTACAAAAAAAATATATATAGAAGTTATAGGGAAGATTACCACTCGGCAAGGGCGTGAGACAAGGAGATACCATCTCTCCCAAGATATTTACACTGGCACTGGAAGATGTCTTCAAGAAATTAGAATTGGAAAATAGAGGTCTAAACATCGATGGGATACACCTTAGCCATCTAAGGTTCGCAGACGATATTGTCTTGCTGAGGACTGACATTCAAGAACTGAACACCATGCTAAAGGAGCTAAATGACCAGTCCCAGAAAATTGGCGTTAAAATGAACTTGAAGAAGACCAAGATAATGAGCAACAATATCCATAACATTACCGTTGACAACATTATTATTGAAAACGTAGACCATTATATATATTTAGGTCATAAAATCAAGCTGGGTAAGGAGAACCAAAATAAGGAGATCAAACGCAGGATCCATTTGGCATGGGTAGCATTTGGAAATATGAGCGATGTTTTCAAGGATAGAAAGGTGCCCATCAACCTAAAGAAAAAGGCTTACGCCAGCTGCATTCTACCTGTGCTTACGTATGGCTTAGAGACTATGGCAATTACTCGAAAACAGTAGAACAACTACGACTAGCATAAAGAGCCATGGAAAGAATCATGTTGGGAGTCACCATTAGCGAAAAAATACGGAACACCCACATACGTCAAAAAACAAAATTAATAGATGTCGTAAAAGAGTGGCAAGTCTAAAGTGGCAATGGATAGGACATGTGGCAAGACAGGATCCAGGCCGATGGCCCCAAAAAGTCGTCCTATGGAGCCTAGGGGAACAACAAGAAGTGTGGGCCGACCAAAAAAGAGATGGGTCGATGACGTCAGGGCAGTGGCGGGAAGACAATGGATAAGATTGGCTAGAGAACGTGAAGCATGGAAAAACCTAGAAGAGGCCTATATCCAACACTGGATGGAACCAGAGTGAGAAAGAAGAAGAAGGGAAGATTAAGATACACATTTTAAAATTATTATAGAGTATACAAGGTGCTTCAAAAAAGTGTGGCGGATATAACATATGTTTTTTTAAATGCAACGCCCTATTTTTTATTTTATTTTTAGATTATGCGTAAAATTCCATAACTTTTTTTATGTATAATGTTATATACCTAAAATTAATAGTTTTTGTAATATTTCAATTTGTTTAAACAAATGTTAAATTGCAGTGTGGTAAAAAATTGTCAGTGGTGCCATTGTTTCTGATGTTGGAGTGCCAAAATTTGGTAGGAGAGTTTTATAGAGATGAAAAAAAAAGATATATGAAAGATATTTTAGTTAAATGGTACAGGGTGTTCAAAATATATTTATAAATTTCAACTACTTAAAATTAAAAAATCTCAAATTTTTTAAATCGTACACTCTATATATTATCATTTTTTCTGATAGATTTTACAAAACTCTTCAACTTTTATTAAGTATGTCATATACCTATTTTTAATAGTTTGCGATTTATTCCCATTTTTTTTCTATTTTTACCCATATTTTTAATACAATTACCCTATAAAATCATAGTTATCATGACAGAACAAAACTATTTATTACTTATCTTTAACAAGTAGCTTAATAATTAGTTATCATTGCTGGTATTAGTTAAAATTAATTAACTTTACACAAATAAACTAAATCGCAGTCGTGAATTTCTTGGTGTATTTCTATATCATGTAAGATGACACTTGGGATTTTCCATCGCACTATGGTTTCTAGAAGCTAATTTTTTGGTCAAAATACATATTTTAGACCCACTGTATATGGACTTTTTTGTAAGTGGAATGCAAGCAGATATACAAATGAAGAAGACCACATGCATATATTTTTGTTTAGTTTTCATTTTTATTCCTTATCAGCATTTATAATTAGACGTTCTAGTGAAGTATTTGTGTCTATTCAGTTGTTGTTTATTTTCGGAAGAGTTTTGGTGAATATTAAGTGATATATTTCAGTGGGATATAAAAACGGATTACTGTTATTTTTACACTTTATAGTATGTATTTTAAAGAAATCACTAACTCACTAACAATTGCACCTAAGAATCAGCGTCCATTATTTTTTAATTAATTAAAAATAATAAGTTTAAGACAGAACATAAATAAAAAGTTAAAAGTTTAGTTTGACTTATAAAAAATTCTCCATGTTTCTCCATGCTAGATGTTTTTGGAAAAATGGCTACAAGGGGCCGATAAAGTTAAGAAAAACGGGTATGTTTCAAATTTTGTAAGACAGAAATTTCAGAGTAATGAACAAGAACTATCAGGCACAATGGAAAAAAGATAAATCGCCTTTGTATAAATTTTGAAAGAAGATGGCAGGCGGCTTCGCGGCTTAAAGATTTATTTTTAAAACAAAATGAAGACTGGTTAAAGGAGGATTTTATCCTTGAGTTAAGTGAACCCCTTCCATCCACATCATCTGCCGGCCGCCCACGATTATCTTTTTCGGAGCAATCTTCCAGAACCCAGAGAAGAACGGCCTCAAAAGTTTCTGAGGAACATAGACAGGATTGGGCTTTACTTGTGCAGGCTGCTTTGTAAATTTAGTTATCCTGTCGATGTACTTAACCTACTTCGTGTACCTGACTTTATCGAAAAGAAGTTAAATGAAGAACAATTTGAAGAGAAGCATGGAAAAGAAGAGGAATACGAGGAGGAAGTGCAAGAAGAAGAAATGCAAAAAGAAGAAGAGCAAGAAGATATTTCTAAAGAAGATTGTTTTTTGAACAGCAGTAATTCGATGATTGATCAACTTTCTTTTTTGGAACTAGATACAGGAGATGCTTCATAGGTAAAAGTTAATCACACGTTGAATGAGAAGATTAAAAATAACTTCATTTTATTAGTATTGTATTATTTTATTAAAAACACAAATTTACAGTCAATATTTTCCATTAAATGTAAGTTGTTTAATTTTGGCCAAAAAAGTAGCTTCTAGAAACCATAGTGCATCGGGGCGAATAGCCACAGATTAGGGTAATACTAGATTATCTAATTGTTGACGACTACTGATCTAGGAATTTCCTTCGACATACAGTAAAGTTTTTTCTCGTAGTAATTCTGGTTTATAATTATTCATTTGGTAAAGCCAATATTACTACTGCCGCGAAACCGTCCCATTACACACTGAAGATGTTTTTTAGATAATCTACATCTATTCTTATAGTCCTTAGCAAAGTACTATATAATATATAGTACTGAACCAAAAACTGTGGTTTTCTAGGTTTGTTCGTGTATATCAGTAACATTGACTAATTAATTTCAAAAAAATCTTATTATCTAATACAATTATATCTACCGTTTATACTTATTACAACAAATTAAAATAGAATTCAAATTTTGTTCTTAACTTGCTTAACAGACATAAAATTGTGATAATTATTACTTTTTGTCATGGTAACTATGATGTTATAGCGTAATTGTATTAAAAATATAGGAAAAAATAGAAAACATTGGAATAAATCGCAAACTATTAGAAATAGTTATATGACATAGTTAATAAAGGTTGAAGAGTTTTATAAAATCTATTAGAAAAAATGATAATATATAGGGTGTACCATTTGAAAAATTTGAAATTTCTTAATTTTAATTAGTTGAAATTCATAAATATATTTTGAACACCCTCTAGCATCTAACTAAAATATCTTTACATAGGTCTTTTTCTGTATCTCTATAAAATTCTCCTACCAAATTTTAGTTGTCCAACTTCAGAAACAATGCCATCACTGACAATTTTTTATCACACTGCAACCTAACATTTCTTTAAACAAATTAAAATATTACAAAAACTATTAATTTTAGGTATATAACATTATATATAAAAAAGTTATGGATTTTACGCAGAACCTAAAAATAAAATAAAAAATAGGGTGTTGTATTTAAAAAAAACATATGTTGTATTCGCTACACTTTTTTGAAGCACCCTGTATACTCTAATAATTTTAAAATGTGTATCTTAACCGCGTCCCTATAACTTTTATATTTAATATTTTTTTGTAAACCTCGAAACAAATGAGATAATGGACTTTACTCTATCGTTGACCCACCCTGTATTTAAAATGCGTAAAAATATAATACAGGGTTGACTTACACATAACTCAATAATTTCTTGTTTTATTTTACATTGACAATAAATGTTAGCAGTATCAAAATTGTTATAAAAATATACATTTCTAATAAAAATGGATAAGTTACAATAATTATTTAATAAGACAATTATGACTAAGGGCTTATCTTAGTTATTTTTGGCAAATAGTAAATCATAAAGAAAAGGCAAGAAAATGTATACCGGGTGCGTCTCAAAAGTGGCTCACCCCCTATAACTTTTTTATTTTTTCAGATAAAAAATCGTGATTATTATTATATGACATAAATTAGGATTGATTGACGTATTCAATTGTTTTCGGTCACTTCCTGTTTTACCGGAAATGACTACAACTTTCAATTTTTAAATGATACCCTCGGTATTTTGTCACTTTATTCGATAGAAAATGACACTCTGAATAGAATGAGATATCATAATATTATGCCAACATTGACATTTTCGAATATGGTTTATTTGAAAATGCAACATGCGATTCATAACGACAATTTGACTCGCAATATCAAGTGTGTGGTACTAAATTATTTGTAAAAAAATGCTCTTTCCAAATACAGGGTGTCATTGAAATGGTGTAAAAAAAGGGGGTGATAGTACTCCTAAAAATAGTAAAAAAAGTTCCTATAAGTATAGGGCGGAAAATTCATATTAACGGAGTTAGGGGCACTGAAAATGTGAATTTAAAAAACGATGGGTTTGAAATTGCAGGCTTAAAAAACGAGATAAAATTTCGAAAAAAAATGCTCTGCCATAAATTTTGACCCTAAATTAAATGGTGATACTGAAAAATTATTTGGAAAAGCGGAAAGGGTAATTTTTGCAAGGGTAGGGGGTTGTTTCGTGAATAACTTTTTTGAGGATATTTTTTTTGCGACGTGGGTTCATTTTTTGAAAACTACATACTTTTTCCTACAAAAAAGGTACTCTTGTTGCAAATCGCCCAAAGCGATGGTTTTCGAGAAAATTGAAGGCAAAGAGTTTGCTCTGATGGATTGCTAACTGGTTAATGAACATAAACTTATGAAAGTTATGGCGGTTCAAAAGTAACCAAATAGTTATCAAATAATTAATTGAAAAATTTCATGATTTTTAAAACATCTTATTGCTTTAAAAAACGAAATAATCCACTAGATTTCTACTTCTGGGGCCACTTGAAAGCTTTGGTTTACCCAGTGCCGATTAATACTGAAGAGCAACTACGGCAACACATTATTGACTGTTCCAATCAAATTTGGACAACACCAAGGATATTCCACAAGGTACACAGATCTTGGAGCAGATGTCTGCATTGAAATGAATGGTGGTCACTTTATACATTTACTATGAATGAATTAATAATAATAAAATAATGCATTCCATTATTTTAATAAGGAATTTTGGTAATTGGTTTATTTCGTTTTTAAAGCAATAAGATGTTTGAAAAACCATAAAATTTTAATTTTCCAATTAATTATTTAATAACTACTTGGATACTTTTGAACCGCCATAACTTTCATAAGTTTATGTTGATTAACCAGTTAGCAACCCATCAGAGCAAACTCTTTGTGTTCAATTTTCTCGAAAACTATCGCTCTGGGCTATGTACAACAAGAGTACCTTTTTTGTAGGAAAAAGTATGTAGTTTTCAAAAAATGAACCCACGTTGCAAAAAAAATAAATGTGCAATGAATTATATAAGGATTCTTGCACGCAGGCAGATTATTGCACGCAGGCCGCTATTTCCCGTTCGCGACTTAATATCTAACCGATACTTTCCGACAAGTCGGAATTAACTATCTGCGCTTTGGTTGTCATTTTGTGGATCTCCCAAGCTCACCTGATGATGGAGTAGGGCTCCGAAACCGGTAGTGAGAGCAGGTTGATCCGCATTATGACAAACACAGCGTAGAATTAAATTTCTATATTAGCAGTTAAGTGGCAAGAATCCTTATATAATTTTATTATATACCTCTACTGCAAGAAATTTGTTTTCTATTTTATAATTTGGCTTGCCTGAAAAAAAAGCCTTTTACCATCCTTTACTATCGATAGTTGCGCCTCGGTGGTACGAAAGTACTACCATTGCACGCAGGCCGCTATCTCCCGTTCGGGACTTAATATCTAACCGATACTTTCCGACAAGTCGGAATTAACTATCTCTGCGCTGTGATTGTCATTTTGTGGATCTCCCAAGCTCACCTGATGATGGAGTAGGGCTCCGAAACCGGTAATGAGAGCAGGTTGATCCGCATTATGACAAACACAGCGTAGAATTAAATTTCTATATTAGCAGTTAAGTGGCAAGAATCCTTATATAATTTCATTATATACCTCTACTGCAAGAAATTTGTTTTCTATATAAAATAATTATATATCATATAAATATAATCATATAAAAAAATATTGCATTTTAAAATTTTAAATGTAAAGTATATTTTTTGTTTGTTTTAGTGGGCACTTATGAACGATGCGTTTTATTGGACACTGTTTATGAATTGACTAAGGCATACTTGCTAAAACGATTACCTCGAGATTTAAGATGCTATTCTAAGAATTCTCTTGTTCTTACACAAAAAATGATGCTGCCAATGAGATGTGTATCATTTCTAACATTACTAGCCTACTGTGATCTTTTAACCTGCCAAATAGACAACTGCGGTGTCAAGTTAAGCGGAATTAAAGATATATTTTGCATAGAAAAGTCTGCATTATGTGATGCTCTTGATGACGAGATTGAGCAGGTTAGAAGTGGAGTGCAACAACTAACTGTGGAAGGACCTCAGTCATCTGGTCAATTGTCTCCTTTACTCAATTATCTGTCTGAGGAAAACTTTAAATTACCTGAATTTTTATACCACAGGGAAGATTGTTTGTGTTTTTTCTGCATGTCATGTGAATATCATAAATTTCTGATACAGAAATTTCATTTGGATGCTTTATTACATATGTACAAGGGAAACGGAAATTTAGCTGATAATTTTATTAAAGGAACATTAAAATTTTATGACAGATTGAAGGCGAATTATCCTAATTATATTAAGAAAGCTGAAAAGTTAATATCAATTGATTTAATCCCTGATTTTGAGGAATATTTTTTAGAATGTTATGGAAATGTATTATTTGACTACAGTTATCATTTACGTCGTTGCTTAAATAATTCTGAAGCGCTTGAAGTCAATACACGTTTGATACAACTTTTAATGCCAAAGAAAATAGAATTTGCCAATTTATACTGTGAAACGCTCTTACAAAGATATAGTTATATGACTCCTATTTCTCCGACAAAACCTCGCCTTCGCTCCAACAGGGACTTGAGTCCAGTGGTAAATATAGATAATACATTAGCAGTAACGCCTGAAAATAAAACGAGCACAGTCACTGTACCATTAAACAGTTCTTACAAGGTTTCGCCGCCAAAACAGCGGATAAAAACGAAAACTACCCTTTTTAAGTCGCCAAGCGAGTCTGAATTAAAATTGATTCCGTCACCTATTCACTCAATGAATTTCAAACAAAAAACAACAAAAAAGGAGGTTCATAATGATGGATCTATACATTTCCAAATACCAAAAGCGAACCAAAAACAGGGCGGGGTACAGTTATTTTCAACGCCAAATAGCGTCCACATTCAAACACCAAAAATAAATATATTTACAGAAGATGAATCTCCGAGTACTTTACGCAAAACCAGAAAGAAACAACAAAGTAGCAGTAAAAAACAATCAGGCGATGTGCAAACAAGTTCAGTTAAGAAAGTTACAAGGTCTAAGAAAAACGTTAACTATGATAATGAGGAGTCAGATAGAAAAATGCAAGAAAATAAACCGAATAAACATCAAACGGCAGAAATTCCAAAATCAACTTCGAAAACAAGGAGTCGAGTACATACAAAATTAACGGAACTCAATGACCAAGGCGACAACATTTCCTCGAAACCCAAAGTATTCGACAGCGACAAAAATGGTTGTGTTTCGGGTAGCCCTGGGCGTAATGTTATGAGCACAAGGTCAAAAGTTTTACTAGAAAAAATAAAAACATCTGCGGTAAAGAAGCAAGATGAGGCTGGAACGAGTAAAACAAATGTTACTGGAACCAAGCCAAAAGTTCAGAAAAGTTAGTCAGGCAATTGTTATTACACTAGAGGCATTTTAGCTATCAGCTGTGGTACACTGTAAAAGTAACGAATTATTGTTATTGTATAAAATATTTATTTTTAAGAAAGAATCTTAAAATACACACTCACTGTTTTAAATAAAAAATATTTTTTTTATATTTTTTATTTAGAGGGAATAAAACTCCTCCAGTTAGTAACTAATTTAAAATAATATTACTCTGTTTTCAGTATAAGTTTGGAACAAGTCATCTTAAATTGACAAGTTTTTTCTGCATGTCTTGTGAATATCATAAATTTCTGATACCTACAGAAATTTCATTGATGCTTTATTACATATGTACAAGGGAAATGGAAATTTAGCTGATAATTTTATTAAAGGAACATTAAAATTTTATGACAGATTGAAGGCGAATTATCCTAATTATATTAAGAAAGCTCAAAAGTTAATATCAATTGATTTAATCCCCGATTTTGAGGAATATTTTTTAGAATGTTATTGAAATGTATTATTTGACTACAGTTATCATTTACGTCGTTGCTTAAATAATTGTGAAGCGCTTGAAGTCAATACACGTTTGATACAATTTTAATGCCAAAGAAAATAGAATTTGCCAATTTATACTGTGTGAAACGCTCTTACAAAGATATAGTTATATGACTCTATTTCTCCGATAAAACCTAGCCATCGTTCAAACAGGGACTTGAGTCCAGTGGTAAATATAGACAATACATTAGCAGTAACGCCTGAAAATAAAACGAGCACAGTCACTGTACCATTAAACAGTTCTTACAAGGTGTCGCCAACAAAACGGAGGATAAAAACGAAAACTACCATTTTTAAGTCGCCAAGCGAGTCTGAATTAAAATTGATTCCGTCACCTATTCACTCAATGAATTTCAAACAAAAAACAACAAAAAGGAGGTTGATAATGATGGATCTATACATTTCCAAATACCAAAAGCGAACCAAAACGGGGCGGGGTACAGTTATTTTCAACGCCAAACAGCGTCCACATTCAAACACCAAAAATAAATATATTTACAGAAGATGAATCTCCGAGTACTTTACGCAAAACCAGAAAGAAACAACAAAGTAGCAGTAAAAAACAATCAGGCGATGTGCAAACAAGTTCAGTTAAAAAAGTTACTAGGTCTAAGAAAAACGTTAACCATGATAATGAGGAGTCAGATAGAAAATTGCAAGAAAATAAATCGAATAAACATCAAACGGCAGAAATTCCAAAATCAACTTCGAGAACAAGGAGTCGCGTAAATACAAAATTAACGGAACTCAATGACCAAGGCGACAACATTTCCTCGAAACCCAAAGTGTTCGACAGCGACAAAAATGGTTGTGTTTCGGGTAGCCCTGGGCGTAATGTTATGAGCACAAGGTCAAAAGTTTTACTAGAAAAAATAAAAACATCTGCGGTAAAGAAGCAAGATGAGGCTGGAACGAGTAAAACAAATGTTACTGGAACCAAGCCAAAAGTTCAGAAAAAGTTAGTCAGGCAATTGTTATTACACTAGATGCATTTTAGCTATCAGCTGTGGTACACTGTAAAAGTAACGAATTATTGTTATTGTATAAAATATTTATTTTTAAGAAAGAATGTTAAAAATACACTGTTTTAAATAAAAAATATATATTTTTTATATTTTTTATTTAGAGGGAATAAAACTCCTCCAGTTAGTAACTAATTTAAAATTACTCTGTTTTGAGTATAAGTTTGGAACAAGTCATCTTAAATTGACAACTTTTTTTTGCATGTCTTGTGAATCTCATAAATTTCTGATACCTACAAAAATTTCATTTGGATGCTTTATATTACATATATGTATAAGGGAAATGGAAATTTAGCTGATAATTTTATTAAAGGCCAACTAAAATTTTATGACAGATTGACGGCGAATTATCCTAATTATATTAAAAAAGCCCAAAAGTTAATATCAATTGATTTAATCCCTAATTTTGAGGAATATTTTTTAAAATGTTATGAAAATGTATTATTTGACTACAGTTAAAACGTCGTTGCTTAAATAATTCTGAAGCGCTTGAAGTCAATACACGTTTGATACAACTTTTAATGCCAAAGAAAATAGAATTTGCCAATTTATACTGTGAAACGCTCCTACAAAGATATAGTTATACGACTCCTATTTCTCCGATAAAACCTAGCCAACGTTCAAACAGGGACTTGAGTCCAGTGGTAAATATAGATAATACATTAGCAGTAACGCCAGAAAATAAAACGAGCACAGTCACTGTACCATTAAACAGTTCTTACAAGGTGTCGCCGCCAAAACGGGATAAAAACGAAAACTACCCTTTTTAAGTCGCCAAGCGAGTCTGAATTAAAATTGATTCCGTCACCTATTCACTCAATGAATTTCAAACAAAAAACAACAAAAAAGGAGGTTGATAATGATGGATCTATACATTTCCAAATACAAAAAGCGTACCAAAAACGGGGAGGGATACAGTTATTTTCAACGCCAAACAGCGTCCACATTCAAACACCAAAAATAAATATATTTACAGAAGATGAATCTCCGAGTACTTTACGCAAAACCAGAAAGAAACAACAAAGTAGCAGTAAAAAACAATCAGGCGATGTGCAAACAAGTTCAGTTAAAAAAGATACTAGGTCTAAGAAAAACGTTAACCATGATAATGAGGAGTCAGATAGAAAATTGCAAGAAAATAAACCGAATAAAATAAACATCAAACGGTAGAAATTCCAAAATCAACTTCGAAAACAAGGAGTGGAGTAAATACAAAATTAACGGAACTCAATGACCAAGGCGACAACATTTCCTCGAAACCCAAAGTATTCGACAGCGACTAAAATGGTTGTGTTTCGGGTAGCCCTGGGCGTAATGTTATGAGCACAAGGTCAAAAGTTTTACTAGAAAAAATAAAAACATCTGCGGTAAAGAAGCAAGATGAGGCTGGAACGAGTAAAACAAATGTTACTGGAACCAAGCCAAAAGTTCAGAAAAGTTAGTCAGGCAATTGTTATTACACTAGATGCATTTTAGCTATCAGCTGTGGTACACTGTAAAAGTAACGAATTATTGTTATTGTATAAAATATTTATTTTTAAGAAAGAATGTTAAAAATACACTGTTTTAAATAAAAAATATATTTTTTTATATTTTTTATTTAGAGGGAATAAAACTCCTCCAGTTAGTAACTAATTTAAAATTACTCTGTTTTGAGTATAAGTTTGGAACAAGTCATCTTAAATTGACAACTTTTTTTTGCATGTCTTGTGAATCTCATAAATTTCTGATACCTACAAAAATTTCATTTGGATGCTTTATATTACATATATGTATAAGGGAAATGGAAATTTAGCTGATAATTTTATTAAAGGCCAACTAAAATTTTATGACAGATTGACGGCGAATTATCCTAATTATATTAAAAAGCCCAAAAGTTAATATCAATTGATTTAATCCCTAATTTTGAGGAATATTTTTAAAATGTTATGAAAATGTATTATTTGACTACAGTTAAAACGTCGTTGCTTAAATAATTCTGAAGCGCTTGAAGTCAATACACGTTTGATACAACTTTTAATGCCAAAGAAAATAGAATTTGCCAATTTATACTGTGAAACGCTCCTACAAAGATATAGTTATACGACTCATATTTCTCCTATAAAACCTAGCCAACGTTCAAACAGGGACTTGAGTCCAGTGGTAAATATAGATAATACATTAGCAGTAACGCCAGAAAATAAAACGAGCACAGTCACTGTACCATTAAACAGTTCTTACAAGGTGTCGCCGCCAAAACAGAGGATAAAAACGAAAACTACCCTTTTTAAGTCGCCAAGCGAGTCTGAATTAAAATTGATTCCGTCACCTATTCATTCGATGAATTTCAAAGAAAAAACAACAAAAAAGGAGGTTGATAATGATGGATCTATACATTTCCAAATACCAAAAACGGGGAGGGATACAGTTATTTTCAACGCCAAACAGCGTCCACATTCAAACACCAAAAATAAATATATTTACAGAAGATGAATCTCCGAGTACTTTACGCAAAACCAGAAAGAAACAACAAAGTAGCAGTAAAAAACAATCAGGCGATGTGCAAACAAGTTCAGTTAAAAAAGTTACTAGGTCTAAGAAAAACGTTAACCATGATAATGAGGAGTCAGATAGAAAATTGCAAGAAAATAAACCGAATAAACATCAAACGGGAGAAATTCCAAAATCAACTTCGAGAACAAGGAGTCGAGTAAATACAAAATTAACGGAACTCAATGACCAATGCGACATTTCCTCGAAACCCAAAGCATTCGACAGCGACAAAAATGGTTGTGTTTCGGGTAGCCCTGGGCGTAATAATGTTATGAGCACAAGGTCAAAAGTTTTACTAGAAAAAATAAAAACATCTGCGGTAAAGAAGCAAGATGAGGCTGGAGCGAGTAAAACAAATGTTACTGGAACCAAGCCAAAAGTTCAGAAAAAGTTAGTCAGGCAATTGTTATTACACTAGAGGCATTTTAGCTATCAGCTGTGGTACACTGTAAAAGTAACGAATTATTGTTATTGTATAAAATATTTATTTTTAAGAAAGAATGTTAAATACACTATGTTTTAAATCTAAAAAAATATATATTTTTTAATATCTTTTATTTTCTTTCTCTATTGACAAATTTACAGCCAGTTACGCCAGTACGTGAGATAGGGGAAAATTTCAAAGGATTTCATTAAATGATAAATTCAAACCTATACTGATATATCAATATTCGAATAATTTTTTAGCGCACAAACAAAATATTTATTTTTTATTTCAGATCCTACGTTTGAATGTTTATAATGAGGAGTAAAAATTTTAAACCATCGAATGATTATTTATAAATATAAATGTCTGAAAATTATTAAAAAAATATGTATTAGTGATAGCTTACATCTAAAAATAATTTTTTGAGATTTTAACATAAAAGCGCAGTATATATCAACATTTTTGTAGATTATAGGAGATATACAGGGTGAACCTTAAATAATGAAAATATGTTTAGGGGTAATATATTTCGAACCCAGAAACACGATCATATATCAATAATCAATCAATCAATTTTATTAATGTCCATACAATACATAATTGTTTACACAAGTTAATATAAAAATATATTTTGAAATATGGCAACATAGGTAGTAGTTTAAATTTACAATAGTTTACAAGAAAGAAAACCCAAAAAAGATCCAGTGTAGGGTTCCCAACTTGAGTATCGGCGATTCCGGGACAATTATTTTTAAGCTTTTAAATAATTGAAACAAGACATTAAATATTAGAAAATAAAATAAATTATGTGTGTAGTACACATTTTTTTAGTTTCCAGGTCCCGGCCAAGGCAAAACTTTCGCCGGGACACACTTTCTGATTCCTGGTTAATCCCGGCCAAACCGGGACGGTTGGGAACCCTAATCCAGTGTTTTTTTTTCAAGCCAAAGCAAAAAATATCTAAAAATATATTTTTTTTGGAAATTTTCAAAGTAAAATAACTCGGATATTTTGGAATTATTTGAAAAACGGTAACGAGAAAATATCTTTCTTTTATCGAGATCTTCCAGCCCTAAAAATATTTGCACTTATTTAAGACTCACCCTCGTCTCAATGCTCCAATTTTTTTTTGTCATGCTGTATTTGTACACTGCGTACTGGTCGCGTAATTAAACAAATATACTGATATTTTAAGTAATTAAAAATGTTGATTATATCATTTTAACTATTTTAAGCCAAAAAAATTAAAGAACAGTCGTAAAATTAGCAAGATTTAAATTTGTAAAAAGCGCGCTGATTGGTCAATACATTCAAAGCTACAGATCACATATACCGACTCGTTACCACAGCTTAACAAAATAACCGTTACGATCGTAAAGTAATAGATATAAAAAAAGTTGTAAGACAGGATCTGATGTAGTTATTGGTATACCTAGTAATTTTCTGTGGTCTGATCCTTTCTGTGGCAGCTCGTAAGTTCTGGAGGACGATGTGTGAACCCCAGATGTGAACCCCCTGGATGTAAGTTAAAATAATGTAAATAGAAGAATAGGATTGGATATCCTTTTATATTACTGTATAGCCCTGGCAGCTCAGGCCATGAAAGAAACGGAAGAAAAGAAGAGGGTTTTCAAATTTTGTACCTAACCTGTTTGTATAATGTCAAATTAATATTTTTATTTGTCTTTATTTATTTATTGGATATTGTTGTTAAAAACCTATATTATATGAACATACCTCTCAATCCGAGGTAATATTTTCCTGTTAAATTTGCTACTCAGTTCAGATAAAAAAGTTAGTGGAAATTAAAAAGAGGTAAGAATTTTTTCCATTTGTTCAAATGCCCATGATGTTTTAAAAACTATACTGAACTGAAGTATATTATATGTTCAAAAATAGTTACCAATTGTTATTGGTTAAGTTTGGACTACAGTAAAGTATATTTATACCAAAATAAATTTGAGCAAAACACATTTAACAGTCTGGGTATCTATTCTTGACCACT